GGGATCTCTCTCAATCTCACTCTGCATCTCCAAAACACCCAATGACTTCATACACTACATAAACATTCTTCATAGATTAGCTAGCTAGCATCTTCTTCTTCAAGAAGCTCTAGGCCATCATTAATGGAGTCCACACCTATCTTATACATGTAAAAACTTGCCCTACATCAATAACACTTAAACACTTCTTGTTGGCATGGTATCGCCGAAAAAAGCCCATGGTCATCTGCTGATTGGGTTTCTAGGTAAAAACTAATATCTTTATATTTTGTTTTAATTTGTTAGACCTAGCTCAAACCCGGTGATAGAAATACAAAAAAACATAATTACCTAAAACAAGAGTAAGCCTACCAAGGTATCAAAGAATATCAAACTTTATCATGCTTGCCCCAACTCTTACTTATCATCACTAGCACCTAGAAAAAGCTAGTACTGCCTCGGACCTCCGGCACGGAAAACAGTTTTTATACATATGTACACTTTTTAACTTTGATAATTTGTTAAAAGCCATTAATCATATTCATTGCATGTAGTTTATTACTTAGTTAAGTAAACTTATCATATTTAACTTGTCTAAGACTACTTTTTGAAGGTTGTATGAAAAATTAAAAACAATAGTGAGTAAGAATCTTAAAAAATGACATTAATTATGGATGAAACTTTACCTCCTCGAATGGGACAAAGACAAAAGGTGTAAGACCTCTTTTGTGTGAAATAGCTGGTACATCAGGGTTATGTGTCTCATCCTCTTGCCAGCCCTCAACAACCCCAAGAATGTCTTCATCATGGTGACTAACCTCATTCTCATTCACACCACAAGTTAAAAGTGCCAGTAGATCCATCCGGTTATTGGCACCCTCAGATGTCCCCCTTAACCTAATTGAAGTGCAAAGACCAAATCAAGTTATAACTCTTCCAAAATTGTAAAATAGAGAAATAAAGATATCGGTGCCTGAAGTCCTTGCGACCATACATAGATATATATGCATGTGTCAATGTTCCTAATGCTAAAAGCCTCATCATGAAATCCTAAATATAAAGATTACAAGTAACAGTGTTTTTGAATGCTTATTAGTGACAACATAATTATGGTTATTTCTTGTGAAAATGCTTGTAGGCGAGCTTTTCTATATATCTAGCAGTGTAATGAGAAGCCAGAAAGTTAAGAAAGCATGTTTCTAGAGACAGTTTATATGAGAAACCAAACAGAATTCTCAAGAGCCCTCTAAATGCACAACCTCAAGGAATCACTCTTGGAATTTTTTTATACATTCATCAATTACCAATGAGAGTTTTTTTAAAGATATTTTTAAATTAGATATACAAAAGACTAGAGAGTAGTTTTTAATTGAGCAAAACACGATATTATGCTCATCCAGGATACGCTAGTTGCTACCAACATTTCGAAAAATTTTGGGTTTAATTTTTGAAGTGCTCCACAAATATAGCCACTTGGAAACTTCATTTTACAAGGAAGCTAGTAACTTAATGTATAGAATTCAATACTGGGTAGGAGGCATCGACTAGATTCCGGTCAAACCATACTACGAGATTGAAGTCATTGAATCTAATTGATTAACTAGTTCAACTCAAGATCTTATCAACCTATGATGTTGATATGAAACTCTAACATTTGCCTCATGTGAACAACATAACCATCTTGAGGGCACGTGAGCCATATTCTAGCAGTGGATGCTCTGACTGTTATCCATGATGAGGAAAAAGATCTAGTATTATGTTCAGATATGATGAACCTCTCGTCCGCTACCACAAATAAATGCTGGAAAAAAAGTGACCATTCATGACGGAAATGATGGATCTCATATCATGTGAATAATTTAGAGATATGAAGCTTAATGGATTACATTAATAGGGCACCACCCGCTGGATGGCAGAAACAATATAAGAGAAACAAGCTCTGTTATCAAGGCATCACCTAGGCTTCTGGGCGGTTTCATGAAGACGTCAGATTGGACGCCTAGCTACTTTTGACCTGGGGGATTTAGGCATCTTCCTGGCGCGGCGTTTAGGCGATGCCCAAAAGTTGACTTTTGCTTAAAAAAGATGATTGACATGCATTAATTTTTTTACTTGTGGTTAAAACCCTAGGCGGGTGCGGAAGTCATTTGCAATTAACATACCCTCTCTCTCTCGTTTTCATTTCCATACCAATCAGTCTCGCCTCCATCTTTCTTCACCGAAGCATCTTGCTCATCACAGAAAAGGCTCGGTCAACGTCGCATCACTAGTCATTAGTCACGAACTAGAGACATGGATATGATTATATGAAACATTTCTTTTTTTCTTTATTCACTTTGACACTTTAAGTTGTGTCGTTTTTGAAATTCTCTGTTGCATAATGTTAGTATCACTGCTTAATTACTTATTTCATGCTATATGCTTTTACATTAGTACCTATACAATTATCAAGGTCACCATAGCCCACTTGCCCAGGGGACGTCTAGGCGGTTGACTAATCACCTAGACATTTGGAAGGTATTCTAGAGCCCAGCCTCGCCTAGTTTTCATAACAACTATGGAAACAAGCATTAAAAAGAGGAGAGTAACATAAAAGAGACCTATTTCTCAAATAATAAAATTGTTTATAACAATAGGTATATTTAATGTTTCCTAAGAGTTGTACCACGCTAAAATAAAAGAGTTGTACACACATCAAAGTGGACTCCTTATATGAGACAGGAGTATTACAATATGAGAAGAAAACATCATTTAGGGCTTGTTCTTTTGAGTTGGAAAGTTAACTTTCAACTGTTTCCAAGTCTCCAACAGTCCAACTCCTGGTTTCTTCCAACAACTTAAAAAAAGTATTTTCATAAGATGAATACAGAATAACATCATATATGAAACAGTATTTTCATCTAATTGAGCCAAGAATTCACTATTTTTTGGCTTTGGGGTGTGATGGAATAAAGAAAAATGGATCTCTAAATTGTCTACGCTTCTTTAATAAATGAAGTAGCAGCTAGTCAATCAATGCAACTTTCGAAGCTGAGCCGGGGGTCTCTTTGGAAACAGCCTCTCTACTTTCGAGTAGGGGTAAGGTTTGCGTACAAAAACCCTCCCTAGACCATACTCTTGTGGGATTCAACTGGGTTGTTGTTGTATCATATATCCAGATTTATAACATATCACCTCAAACACAGGCAAAGATGAATTTTTTTTTCATTCAAAATTAATTTTCTTACATATTTATTTGGTTGATCATTTAATTGAATGACTTTTTGGACATTTTATTTTTTCCAACACTTTTCAACTCCTAGTTTTTTCCAGCACCTTCCAATTTCTCCAACATCCAACTTTAGAATTCCAACCAAAAAGAACGAGCCCTAATGGTGTAAAATAATTAGGAAGGTGGTAGAATTGTGTTGTTAAGTGAGCTTAGAGGGAAATGTCATAGTAATGTGTTTGAGTGAATAGGTTGTAAAGTGTGCTCTATCCTAATAGTTAACACAAACATTCAAAAAAATACTCTAGAAAAGAGTTAATCACATCAACTAACCAACAAATAAATTTTAACAATCTATAAATGATTTCATGACTTTTACCAAGGATAATGCAAAAATTAAAAACTCCTACCTTGACTAAATATGATTTCTTTAGAACAAATGGATCAATAAAATTACTTTGATTTTCGTAAGCCAATCTTTCTCTTCTTCGTTAGATCACAGGTAGAATTTTGCTTTCTAACAATTTTCAATATTATTGAATACCGAGTATAAACTTTTTTCCATTCATCACTTTGGACAAGTCAATAAAATACATTTTCCTCTCACATTCTACTCATCAAGAATTTGATAATGGGTTTATCAAGAGGAATACAATGGATATATAGCTTGATAGGTTGAAAAATAAGTGCAACTACAATACCTCAAACGAATTCTAAGCACAGTTGGACGCAAACCAGGATACAAAATGGCAGCTTCAACCTGCAGATGTGAAGACAGTGTTCATGATATGGGCTTCAAGAAAGGTAATCAACTATGTAATGGGTATATCAAATTAAAAGGTAATGCAAAGACGGCACTATACCCAGATAAAGCAATGGAAAATATATAGACTTGATAGATGGGTACCGATAATGGTTAAAAGCTAACCTTGTCCTCTGAGAAGGTATAACTCCCACTAAAAACACTATTAGCCCTTGAAGCACGGAAGTTCATTAACATTGCTACATCTTTCAACTTTTGTGACGAATTCTACAAATAAAATTAAAATACGAAGATTTGAATTACTTGCAAAAAGTTTAAGGCAAGTACAACAACCCAGTATAATCCAAATTCCATTGGGGGCTTGGGATCAAGATAAGATGTACACAGTGGTACCTCTGGAAAATAAAGAGGTTGTTTCTGTTATACCATAGATGCATTGCTGCATTTACTGCCCAAAACTTTACGAAAAGTAAAAAGCAGGGCAAGTTTAATGTCCCATTTGATGTAGTCCATTATGTGCCGGAGACTAATACTTTGTCAAGAATGACTCTTTTAGTTCCATTGGCAATGGCAAGGCAATTAGTATAAAATAAATCTAAAACAGTTAATTACCTTATACAGAAATCTTCCTGAAGGATAAAATCTCAAATACCGGTAGTAGCATACCTGCAATGAAGTAACATGCAATGAGAGATAAAACAAGAAACTACGCTTGTTAGACTTCACACTATATTTTAACTTTTAAGCCTCAATTCTTTTCCGTTGGAATTCTAAAGTTGGATGTTGAAAGAAACTAGAAGAAGTTGAAAGAAACTGGAAAGAGTTGGAAAAAAACTAGAAGAAGTTAGAAAATGTTGGGGAAAAAATAATGTTAAAAAATCACTCAATTAAATGATCACCCAAATAAATATGAAAAAAAATAAGTTTGGATATAAAAAAGAATTCATCTTTGCCCGTGTTTGAGGTGTTATGTTATAAATTTGTAGATATAATGTTATTGTATAGTCATCACATGTAAATACATTTTTTAAGTCGTCGTTGGAAGAATCTGGAAGAGATAAAGTTGAAAGTTAATTTTTCCAACCGAAAAAAACAGAGCCTTAGTAGCATAACTCTATCAATCGGCTAAAAAGAGCCTACTAATCTATTACAACAACGGAGTAGAATCTCACATAAGAGGGTCTAGGGAGGGTGTGGGGGTTTGGGGAAGGTGTCATGTGTGTACACTGTACACAAACTTTACCTTTACTGCAAAGTAGATAGACTGTTTCCAAGAGACCCCAGCTTGAGTGTCACAAAAAGCACAAAACACGACAAAAAGAAAAAACAGCAAACTAAAGGCAAGAAAAGTGCAACGAGACACAAGTATGGGTGGACACGATTCTCGTGCCCATTTTAGGGGGAACCAGAACTGGTACCGTGTAGGGTCGGATCGCTAGCGGTTCCGGTTTTAGTTCTGAACCGGTTCCAATTAACTTTTTTAAAATATTTTTGGTAAAATTGCATAGTTTTAAAAACCGGACCGGACCGGCCGGTTCGGACCGTGAACAGGCGAACCGATGGTCCAACCGGTCCGGTCGACCCCTTTGGACCGTTACCAGCTTCAAACCAGTAAGAGCCGCAGGTCGAGTTGGTCGGACCAGTTTTTTTTTTTTTTGCGATTTTTTTCCAAAAGCATACCACCATGGGGGTTTGAACCCAAATCTCTTAGACATCTGGTTAAGTTCCTAGTCATCCAAGCTAAGGTGTTTTTTGTTACAAGTTCACCTAATGTTTTATAATATTTCATTATTAAAAAAAAGATTGTACAAAGATTCTTTTTCAGTTAAAAAAAATATAATATTATATAGTTATGAGTCAAACATATAATCATTGATATAATTGATACTATTACAAAATGCATATCATGCAAAGATTTCATCTGAGTGCTTTTTAATATTAAACAACTTATTTGAAAAAAATAAAATCAACTCTCCGTTTATAAAATTTTTAACATTATTTTTTAAATATGTAAATTTTATTTTTTAACTTAGTAAAAGACCTCTAGTATATTACATGGTTATCAAGTCGACAAGTTGAGTCGGTGTGGAAGAGACTAGGTGACCGACTAGTCGCTGATTAGTCGAAACATCATAATTAGTAATACTCCATAATTTTTTAAAAAATAAATACTCTGTATAAGTATATCATTAAAGATTATCACATTTTTTATTTATATTATATATATATGTGTGTGTGTGTGTGTGTGTGTATATATATATGTTCAAAATATTCACAAACGATAACAATTAGAAAAATAGATGAGAAATACTCCGTATAATATAAATCTCAAATTAATCATTAATTTCACATCAAACCGCTTAACATGTTAATAGAATAAGAATTAATATATTATTGGGCCTAAATTTGGCTCAAAGAGGCCCAAAATAGTAAACCTAGACTTCGTATTAATTTTCCCCTTCCCGAGATTAAGTGCCGCAAGTCACAACTCACAAAGGTTTCTTTTCCTTCGATCGATTCAATTGCCCAGACAACGACGACTCTTCAGGAGAGACGACGTGATTCCTCCTCCGGTGATGTCCGTATCAAAAAGCGATGTCAGAGGGTCTGAACTCCGGTGGACCTCTTTCTGCCTCCACATATCTTGCCAGAAAATCCAAAGCAAATCATCAATACATGGGGTTTCAAGTTTGTCTCTCGACACCCCTAGTGTTGTCCCATTCCCTGCGAGGGTTTTGGGATGCCAAACAACACCAGATCTGCGATTCCTTGCATCCTAACCCTTTAAAACCCTCGCAGGGAAGGGGACAACACTTGGGGTGTCGAGAGACAAACTTGAAACCCCATGTATTGATGATATGCTTTGGATTCACCAGCGAGATATGTGGAGACAGAAACAGGTCCACCGGAGTTCAGGCCCTCTGACGTCTGTGTTTGATAGGGACATCACCGTAGGAGGAATCACGTCGTCTCTCCTGAAGAGTTGTCTTCCGCATCTGGGCTATTGGATCGATCAAAGGAAAAGAAACCCTTGTGACTTGCGGCGCTTAATCAGGGGAAGGGGGAAATTAGTACGGAGTCTAGGTTTACTCTGTTGGGCCTCTTTGAGACAAATTTTGGCCCAATAATATATTAATTCTTATTCTATGAACATGTTAAGTGGTTTAATGTGAAATTAATGATTAATTTGAGTGAAGGGGCCTGATTTATGGATAAAAAGGAATGGATTTTCGTCCCTAGTTGTAGTAAATAAAGAGGAAAGACATTATTTGGGTAAAAGGACTTCAAAAACAAACAAAGGTTTTAGCTTTTAATTTCTTCTCATTTTCGGCCAGGGGCTTTCAAATGAGTGGGGAAGATTTTATTTGAATAAAAAGGGAAGTATAAAGTGTTTTTGGATGTTTTGGGATGGTTGGACTGAAATGGGAGTAAACCATGGAACCCTCGGGTCAAACAGAGGTTGTTTTGGCCTTACGGGTTTTAGGAACTTTGAATTCAAACTAAAATGGGTCATAATATTTGAACATAAGTCTTTTGGTATTCATGGAACTGTTGGGTGTGAGCGAGAGTTTCATGGGGCCAGCCCAGGTACAACACTTATCACCTTCTTGCTCCTCTAAGTCCTTACAAAGGCATTCAAATGCTACATTATTTGACCTCGCCACCTCCAATTCTACCTCCTTACGAGCAATCTTATATTCCACTCTTAAACACACCCTAGCCTCTTCATCACCACAGTTGAAAAACCTCTTATATGCTACCTTCTTAGATTCCACCTTAATACGAACCACATTGCTCCACCACCAATCACCTTTCTGCTACCCACAGACACAGTACATCTGCACTCAATCTCAAACCTAATACTTCTCAAGCAGCTTCTCAGATGCAGTTTGTAGTCTTAGAGCCACATGTCATTAGCCTCCAAGAGCAGCTTCTCACGCACCTTTCTCTTGGAAGCTTATTATTCTATAAAAATTTAAAATTATTGCTACACAAAATTACCATAATCCTATCTAAATGAAACATGCTCTTTTTTATTACATAAAAAAAGTCACGAGGGAATGGTTTACCCATACTACCAAATGCCAATGAAAGGTGCAAAATGAAGCCTACCAATGTGATAAGCCATATTTATTCATACACTAATACCATAAACTTAAAATAGGATATAAGTATGGACACACAGAAAGAACTTCCTCGCACTACTTGACGAAAAAAGTTAGGTGAAAAAGTGAAGCACATGATGTTCCCAGTCGTGTTCAAGGAAAAGCCAGACTGTGATTTTTTGAACAATTTGATTGGCCCAATCTCACTCTTTCCTAATTACATAATGTGGAATAGTCTACTAAAAACTTATGCACTGACAAGACTGTTAACATTCTAACCCAAATCCAACTAATTGCCAGTTAACTAATTGTAAACTAACCCAAATCCAACTAATTGCACTTATGTACAAAATATCTAATATCCAAATTGTGAAAAAGTAGCACAAGATAAATATCCTCCATTTAGACTACAATGGGAAACTCAACTATAAAAAAGGGAAGTGACACATACAATGTGAACCGGATTTGTGATCTTCAATTCAGCAACTCCTGCACGAATGTATGTATTGCGACTCACATAGATGCCTGAGGTTAAGGCATGAATAAGTATTATCCACACTCCACAAAAGATTGAGAAAAACCACACATGATTAAATGTAAAACATTTCATTGACCTGCGAGTTAAAAAAGGTTTCACATTCGTAATTGCAATATACTAATAGGAGCAATAGTTATTACAGAGATGGATATCTTGAACCTAACATGAGTAGGAAACTATAGAACAAATAAGAGTAAAACGGGCATCCTGGTGCACAAAGCGTCCATGTAAGAAGAGTCCGGGCAAAGGTCCCACCACAAGCGCGTAATGTAGGCAACCCTTACCCTGCATTTTTGCAAGAGACTACTTCCGGGCCTCAAAACATGTGACAACATGATCGCACGAAAACAACAAATACAAGTCAAGTTCATAAATGTCTAGTAGAAAATAAATGTTTCTATTAAGCTAAATCCAAGGATGTGAGACTTTAGGCCTATAACATGCTCAAGGAGATGGTTTTTTGACATTAACAACGACAAGGCTTTGGGTCTAGATGGTTGTTCTTTGGCATTCTTTACGCCTATGTGGGATGTTGTGAATGCAATCTTGGAGTATTTCTCAAGTGGTAAATTGCTCAAACAACTTAACCATTCTGTTATTGCTTTGACTATAGTCATGATCGGACGGTGCAATACTCTAGGCCTATCTCGTGCTATGATGTAATCTATAAGGCCATTATTAGGATCCTAGCCAACCGCATGAGCTCCCTACTACCACATCTTATTGATCATGCACAATCCACCCTCGTGTCAGGTTGGTCCTTCGTGAACAATACTTTTAATGCACATGAGATTATTGAAGGGTATAGCCGTAAGAAAATGTTATCATGTTGCATGATTCAAGATAGTATCACTTAAGCGTATGATGTGGTTTCTTTGAATTTTCCACGGGAGGTACTCTTATAGTCTTAGGGGGGTGTATTCAATTAGGATTCTGAGAGATTTTTTTGGATTTTGAAAATCCGTATGTATTCAATTCGGAATTCAAAAAGTCATTTAAAATCTATGTGTATTCAATTCAAACTTTAAAAAAATCTTTCTAAATTTGATGGTATTCAAAAGTTAATAGATTTTTAAAGATTTTAAAAAAAATTGATTTTGATGGATTCTTGTGTCTTAGGTATAAATACAAATCCAATTCAAAATCCTATCAAAAGCCCTGAGATTTTGCCAACTCCTTTTCCCTTCTTACGCAGGAAGTCGTTCTTTTCATCTTCTCCATCTTCTTCCCTTCATCTTCAAGGTAAAGCCTTCTCTATTTTACACCTTGTTTTTCTCTCCAGTTATCAGTAATTTGTTCAAATTAAGGTGAATTCTAACATGATTTTGAATTTTTTTTACTGAATTTCTTTATGGATTTCAAACCCTAATTTCCGAATGCTTCTCCTTTCGCTGAATTTATTTATTTTCGACCCAGAGCATCCAAAGTGGAGAATTTTTTCTTGGTTTGTTTGATTTGTTAAACAAGGGGAAGCGCAGTAACTTTTAACATCTTTGGTTTTGTTGGGATTTTGTTGACACAGTGTTAAGAACTCTCTTGGGGGAGTCCTTACCGTAGACGTATGGTGAAGCTAGAGTTAGGCAAAGCAAGGCAACAAGATATCTAAACTAGTTTTACTTTCATTCATGCATATCAAATACCACGGACGTATAGGAGTATATATAGTAATGAATGAAAGAAACCCTAATCTTGTCAAAAAAAGCATCGAGGTAAAGAACCGAAAAGAAACCCTCGAAGGGGCTTATAACTACGCCCACCTAAAGAAAATCTAGAATACAATGATAAATAAAAATAATAAGAAATTAAACATAATCCCGGAAGCGGGTCGGTGGTTTTGACACCCGTCCCGAACGCCGAGGTTGCATGCATGGGTTCGGGCCGTCCATTAATACCGACCCGTGGGCTTCCGCATGGCCCGTATCATCTGCCCCGCCGACCAAAACGTCCTTGTCCTCAAGGACCAATTCCGGATACCGCGCCTTTAGCATGTCCACCGGCTCCCATGTAGCGTCCGCGAGGGTCCCATCGGACCATACCACGAGCCATTGATCTTGTAATGTACCGCGAACCATAACTGATCGCTCCCCCACCGCACGCACAGGTACGGACAGTGGTGCACCTTCTCGAAACTCGGATGGAAAAGTAGAAATAACCGGGCCAGAACTTTCAGGAATGAAGGGACGCAATAGGGACACATGAAAAACGTCATGGATCTTGGCGCCCTCGGGCAATTGTAGCTGGTACGCCACGGCGCCAACCCGAGCCCGAACCGTGAACGGTCCATAATACCGCTGCGCCAATTTGGCCGAACTGGGTTTGGCGACAGAAAACTGGCGATGGGGCTGCAAACGGAGTAACACCTGGTCTCCTACCTGAAATTCCACATGTCGGCGCCGGCTGTTCGCAGTAGTGGCCATTTGCTGCTGCATAATTCTCAAATTGAGCTTGAGGTGGCGAATGATCTCTGTGCGTTCGGCCAAGTAGCTGTCAACAATTTGCACCTTACTGGTTCCCACCGTGTATGGAATTAATGCTGGTGGCTCCCGTCCATACAGGGCTCGAAAGAGCGTCATCTTAATACCCTCGTGATAGGTGGAATTGAGGGCCAACTCTGCCCATGGAAGAAATGCAAACCAACGAGTAGGGCGATGATGGCAAAAGGCGCGTAGATATTGTTCTAGGCCTCGATTGCGAACTTCCGTCTGACCGTCTGTTTGCGGGTGATAAGCCGTGCTCCGTTTGAGAGTAGTCCCGCTTAAAGTGAACAAGGATTCCCAAAAATGACTCATGAAAATCGGGTCGCGATCCGAGACTATAGAGTGGGGAAACCCATGAAGTTTGACAACGCTTCGACAAACAAGGCGGCGACTCGTGGACCATCAAAAGAAGTGGGCAAGGCTCCGAAATGAGCGTACTTGGTCAAGCGATCGACCACCACCATAATAGTTGTGTAACCCCGCGATGGTGGCAACCCCACGATAAAGTCCATTGTGACATCCTCCCAAACCCGCGCCGGAATCGGTAAGGGTTGTAAGAGACCCGCCGGCCGCTGGGTAATATATTTCGTGGTCTGACATGTTGAACAGGCCTCCACAAAGCTTTTGACGTCCTTCCTCATATGTGGCGAGAAGAAAACCTCTGCTACCCGGCGAAAAGTTCGTTCGACGCCGGGGTGTCCCGCGCTAGGAGATGCATGGAACTCCCGTAAAATAATTGCCTTTAGGGCCGAAGATTTACCCAGACAGAGGCGATGATGATAATATAGGATGCCATCGTGGATTGCATAGGGCGCAGGTAAACCCCCTGATGCCGCGGCCTGGTGCTTGGCAGTAAGGTCGGGGTCAGTGTTATTCTCCTCCCGTATTTGGTGCAGAATCTGTGGCAGCGGCTGGGCATATTGGTGGAAGAGGATGGCTGAATTGTCATCGGCATCTCTGCGGGATAAAGCATCAGCAGCCCGATTCGAGGTCCCCCGTTTGTACTCGATACGGAATTTGAACCCCATGAGCTTCCGTATGTAAAATTGCTGCTCCGGTGTTTGAATTACTTGAAGTAGGAGTTCCTTGAGGCTCTTCTGGTCCGAACGAATAATGAACTCCCGGCCCAAAAGATACTGTCGCCATTTATGCACTGCCTCCACAATAGCGTAAAGCTCCTTGTGGTAGGTTGACGTCAAGCGACGGCGAGGGCCCAACTTCTTGCTGAAGAAAGCGAGGGGGTGGCCGTGTTGCATGAGAACAGCCCCTATGCCGTCATCCGATGCATCCGTTTCCAACACAAAAGTTTCTGTAAAATCCGGAGGCCGCAATACAGGTGGGGAAATCATAACCGTCTTGAGGTGTCAGAAAAGCGGCGTCGGCCTCTGGTGTCCACCCAAACTTATTCTTCCGTAACAAGGAGGTGAGAGGGGCGATGAGCATGGCATAGGAGTGAATGAAACGGCGGTAGTACCCCGTCAAACCTAAGAAACCCCGGAGTTGTTTGGGGGTGTTCGGGGTCGGCCACCCCGCCATTGCTTCGAGTTTCGTTGGGTCGGCGCGCAGCTCCCCGTGGGTGACCAGATGTCCCAAATACGCCACCATGTCCTTGCAAAAAGTGCATTTTTCCAATTTAACAAAGAAATTGTGTAGCGCCAAGATATCCAAAGTCACCTGGAGGTGTGACCCATGCAATTCCAGAGAAGGGCTGTAAATAAGAATATCGTCGAAGAAAACGATTACAAAGCGCCGCAGGTACGATGCAAAAATATGATTCATTGCTGCCTGAAACGTGGAAGGAGCGTTCGTCAAGCCGAAGGGCATAACTAGAAACTCAAAGTGGCCGTCGTGGGTACGAAAAGCGGTTTTGTATATATCATCTTCGTGCATTCGAATCTGATGATAACCGGAACGAAGATCGAGCTTGGTAAAGACCCGGGCGTGGCCAAGCTCATCAAAAAGCTCATCAGCCGTAGGAATAGGAAATTTGTCCGCAACTGAAATAGCATTAAGCGCCCGATAGTCGATGCAAAACCGGAAAGATCCATCCTTCTTTTTCACGAGCAGGACCGGGGATGAAAAAGGGCTCCGGCTATGCTGAATCAAACCGTTAGCCAACATCTCTTGCACCTGCTTTTCGATCTCCGCTTTCTGATAATATGGATAACGATAGGGCCGTACATTAACCGGCCGACTTCCCGGTGTGAGGTGAATACGGTGGTCCCATGGTCGCGGAGGAGGGATACCCGTAGGGGGCTGGAAGACGAGACGATGAGTCTCCAGGATAGCCCGAATGTCTGGTGGAAGCTCTGTTGGAAACTCCCCAGGCTCGATCAATTCCCCCTCCGATGAAGCTGCAAACAGTTGGATTTCGTAACCCTCTGCGAGACTGCCAGACTGGGTTAACATGTGCATGGCATTGTAGGTGATGCGCCGGGTGGCCGGGCTATCACCGCGGAATGTAACCAGCCGATCTCCCACACGAAATTCCATGGTCAGTGCACTGTAACCATGGCCAATCTTTCCCAATTCCTGTAACCATTGAATACCCAAGACCATATCCGGCCCTTGAATGCGGAGCACAAACAAATCCACGGGAAAAGAGAAGCCTTGAATATCCAACACCACTTTCTCGCATTTGTGATGGCAGGCCAAAGACTCACCATTACCCACGTAGACGCAGAACGGGGACACTGGAGTTGTATGCAAGGACAGCCGCTCGACGACGGAGGGTTGGACGAAATTATGGGTACTGCCGCCGTCGATTAATATCTGCACCGGGTGTTTGTGAACGGTACCCATCACCTTCAGAGCACGTGGGTTCTGCGAACCCGTGAGGGTGTTAATGCTGGACACATCCCCGCTCAAGAGGAACAAATCATCATCCCCTGCCGGAGGGTTTTCGGAGTCGGGTTCCTCTGTGTCCAACAAGGAGAGGAATCGATGCTGACATTTGTGGCCCGGCACATATTTCTCGTCACAATTCCAACATAAGCCCTTTGCCGTTCTGTCCGCGCGCTCTGCTGCTGAAAAACGACGAATAGACAAGGAAGATGGTGCTGTGGAAGCCGCCCCCACACCGGGCTTAGGTGTGTGATCGCCGGTCTTGGTGACTGGCAGACCTGTGGCTGATGTCCCGGCGGAAGTCCATGCCCGTTTAGATGGTATGGATAATGCTGCCAAGGTATCACTATAATTAGCCGCGAGCTCACGGGCTAGAGCAAAAGTTTGTCCCAGAGTGACTGGCCGTCGCAACAATACCTCCCGCCGCGTGGGCTGCTTCAACCCGGCCACATAAATGGAGAGCAACGTCGCCTCGGGAAGACCGGTAATCTTATTCAAGAGGCGTTCAAAATCAGCCTGGTACTCGATGATGGACGTACGCTGTTGCAATTTGCACAAAAGCCCCATATAATCCTCATAATGGGAAGGATCGAACCGCTGCTTGACAGCCTCGAGAAAAGCCGCCCACGAAGTAAGACAGTTGTTGTTGTGCTGATAAAGAAACCAATCGGACGCCGGGCTCTCAAAGAGAAGACCGACCAGCCGTAAACGAACATCATCCGAGGTACGAAAGTAATCAAAGTAGGATTGGATCTTAAACACCCATCCCGCCGGATCCGAACCATTAAATTTTGGGGCGTCAAAACGAACCTTCGGAGGAAAAGCGTCATGCATACCTTCAGGAGGCGGAAACCCGGGAGGGGGACGCCAAGGGCCTGCATGCGGCGTACCAAACACACCCCCGGGCGGAGGCGGATTAAACCCCCGTGGTTCAAAAAGAGCATCCACACGTTGTGCAAGAGCGTGATGTTCCTGTTGGGACGTACGGATCTCCAACGCAAGATTTTGGATTGCAAGTCACATGTCATCCAAGGCTTGATTGGCATGCGAAGGGGACGAAGGAGAGTCATCGCCGGACATGATCACAGAGTTCGGAAGAGATGAAAGCGCCAATTGTTAAGAACTCTCTTGGGGGAGTCCTTACCGTAGACGTATGGTGAAGCTAGAGTTAGGCAAAGCAAGGCAACAAGATATCTAAACTAGTTTTACTTTCATTCATGCATATCAAATACCACGGACGTATAGGAGTATATATAGTAATGAATGAAAGAAACCCTAATCCTGTCAAGAAAAGCATCGAGGTAAAGAACCGAAAAGAAACCCTCGAAGGGGCTTATAATTACGCCCACCTAAAGAAAATCTAGAATACAATGATAAATAAAAATAATAAGAAATTAAACATAATCCCGGAAGCGGGTCGGTGGTTTTGACACCCGTCCCGAACGCCGAGGTTGCATGCATGGGTTCGGGCCGTCCATTAATACCGACCCGTGGGCTTCCGCGCATGGCCCGTATCACACAGTAACTTTTGACATCTTTGGGCATATTTGGAGAGTAATATGTTTATAGTTTTTTTTTCAAATTATAAGTTGTTTTTTGTTATTTTGTTGTTATGTTATTTTCTTCTGCAAACACACCTTGATAGACTGACACTTACACATGGCCTTGCAAGTTGCATCTGTTCTTGAATCTTGATATGCCAATTGGTCTGTTCAGATGCATTTTGATTTATTTTTTTTGAAGTGATTAACGAAATCACACTTTTGGTGTTGTTTTCCTCAAATAGCACCAAAAAATTACATCTTTTGCTAAGGAGATTAACTGCCTCCAACTTGGAGTTCTGGTTATAGATCTTTGAGTCTTTACTATAGGTAATGAAGAATCAGTGGTAAATTTTGCTTTTTTACTTCACAATTATATGCTAGTGTTGAGGTTTATAATAATAATAATAATAATATCTTAAAAATATTTTATTTTATTTTATTTTATTATTTTTAGAGTTTTTGATCAATTTCATAAGTAATAATTAATGTTAGGACAATGTATAGATTTTTAAAATAATTCAAATGTATATGTAAATAATTCATTGATAATAAACAATCTATCACAATCTTATAAAATCCTGCTAACAAAATATATTGAAATCTATCTAACTCTGCATAGATTTTAAACAATCCACTGACTTTACAGAATCCATGGATTCAAAATAATCTTTCAGAATCTTTAAAAATCTGGATTGAATACACCCCCCTTATGCCTTGGCTTTCCTTCACATTTGTCCTTTTGATTATAAACAGTATAAATAATGCCATTTTGTTATCTCCTTGAATGGAAGCCTTCACGTTCTTTAGAGGGAAGTGATCTATGAAGCACGGGTGCTTCAAAAAAAAAAGTGCCACAAGCCCGGGTGTGGCTGGGTATTTTTCTTTTTAATGAACAACAGGTAGTTTTATATTGTTTTTTTAACTTGGGTGCGGCTAGGTAGTTTTGAGACATTTCATGTGGTCTGATGTTAACTTTAATGGTAATTTGAGACATGTATTAAGCTTCTTATCTATTATCTGGGATGCTATGTGTTTTATTTATTTAAAATTCCGACAATTGTTATATTTTGTGAATATTTTGGACATAAATCTATGCATTCTTACAAAGAAATGAATAATACAAATAAAAATGTATAAATAAATTTGCCGCACCCGCACCTTTTTTTTTGAAAATTGCTGCACCCACGCACCACTAACAGTCGATGCACCCACACCTGTGCTTCATAGAGAGTGAGGCTTCCGACAAGGTGACCAAATGGCCCCTGCTATATTTCTCTTTTGTATTGAGCACACATTTAGGTTACTTAATACAAAAAGTCAAGGACGTAGGATAGGGCCTTCAATTTTCACTCGTTGTGTGGCCAATTAGGATTTCTCTTATCGCGTTTGCCTATGATATTGTGCACTTCTTGAGGGAGTTATTTTGATTGAAACTCTTCTTAGATGCGTTAGAGACTTTGAAGCGGTGTTGTCCCTTAAAGTTACCCCCTAAGAGTCTAACCTCTTGTTAGGAGGTATTTTTTTACAGGACTATGATGATATCATGGAGCTTGTGGACTTCCATGTTCCTATTTGGGTGCCTTTATATGCATCTATACTAACATGGAAAACGAAGGCCTTGTCATATGCCGAAAGGGGGAGTTGATTAGAGTCGTTATTCAAGGAGTACAATCTTTTTGGCTTCTTGGTTTACAAGTCCATTCTTGGGAGAATTAGGTCATGTTCTCTTCAACTTATTCTTATTACTTATTACTTTTTCTTATTGGAATCAGATCAGACCAGATCAGACACAACTTTAAGGCCATGTTCTCTTCACTAATCTGAATGATTTTGATCTGATTGGAATAAGGCAGCGTTCTGTTCGACTTATTTTTTCTGCTTATAACTTATTCTTATTATAATCAAATCAGATCAGGCCAAACCAGATCAGATCAGAAACAGCTTTAATTATAATTGCAAGCAGATCAAACCAGATTAGATCAGACTAGATCAAATCTTCAAAAAGTCAGATTGGATCAGATCAGGCAAACGAAATGCAACCTAAGTTGCTTTAAATATAACTACATTCAGATCAGACCAAATCAAAATTTATTCTAATCAGATTAGAACCATATAGATCAAGTAAAGAGAACATGGCCTTACTAGTACTTGCTCAGACTTTCTTTGGGATAGCAAGTTTGACAAGGTGGCGTCGAGTGATTAGTGCAAGCAAAAGAGGAAGCGGGTCTCATCTTAAGGAGTGCCTTGTGTGGAACAAGCCTTTATTGTCTGAAGTCCTTTGGAATATTCATTCCAAAGAGGACTTACTTTGGATTAGGTGGGTCCTTGTTGTGGTGTGGAAATGGACTCCATGCAAGAGCGACTCTCCACTTATGAAGAAGCTAGCCATGATTCGAGACTCCTGGGTTGATATTTTTAGTGGCAGTCAGTGTATATCTGCCTGGACTTAGCCGACTTTGTGACAATGGCAAGTTAATTTTTAGCAACATTTATACTTTGATTTGAATCAAGGCTAGCAGCCTTGGCAGCCTAGCACTAAGCCATGGATGACATTCATTTGAAAAGCTTATATCTCGTCCAAGTTTTCTTTCATCCTTTGGTTGGCTTACCGGTCACTGTTAACGAAGGAAAACTTGGCATTCGTTGACATTACACAGGATTGCAACCTTTGTGTAGTGGAGAATGAAATCACACCACACCTTTTCATTAGATGCTATCACGATGCAGATTTGGCATAAGATTAAAGCCTGGCTTGGGCTTTGGGGGCAGCTGAATTCACTAAGCAGTTTGTCAAGACTCAAGAGAATGCATTGAGAACAGTGTGGAGCGCATATTCAAAGCAATGTAGTGAGGTTGTCCTTTGTGTGTAATGTCTGACACTCTAAATATTTGGAAGACTTGGTATGAGGCCTGCTTTATCAAAATTATGGTGTATAAGATTTTGTATAAACTTTATCCAGATTGTATGATTGATTTTTAATCTTGGTCGGGATGTGGCCTTTGTGTATGTGATTTTGTGCGGGTATGCCCATTGTATACTTCATGTACTTTTGGGTTACATATCTTAATATTTACAATTTACCTAAAAAAAGAGTGCATATAATTTCTATACTTCCACACCAATATAAACATATAAAAGAGATGTGATACCTACCATCTGTGCGTAGCCGTGGTCTCAAAAGCCACATTCTCCTCCACGAGCCATGGAACTTTAGCTGGAGAATCATGTAATTTTCTTCCACCCCAGTGATCTTCAAATAAAGGAAACATTTACAAAAGAACCATGATGTCTTGCAGCAATAGAAACACAAGTACACTGTACTACCTGCCATGCCTTCAAGCAAGCATTGCGCCAAAAGATGGGGTTACGAATTGTGTAACGCCACTTCCGACAAACACAAGCAGCCTTACCCAAGGTATACGGGTTCATTCTTGAAAAGATCTGCATTAAATATTGATTGCAGATTCAAATCGACATTCCGATCTAAAAACAATAACAACCTTTATAGATGCAATTCCCTAGTTAGAGAAACAGACCTGACTCCCTTTTATAACCTAGACTATGCAATGAAATTGCATTTCAAAGATTTTGGAGAGAGTTTAATACGGCCTGAGGTAGTATCTCTAGTAAAACAGGCGCAACAAAAAATCATATGGGGTATGTAGGAAGTTATGCAACGGAAGATAAGGCATTTTACCATGTTTTTTTACCATGTAAAAGAGATGAAGGCATATGAATCATAAGGACTACAGCTACATTGTGTAAACTTTACAACTTACTTCACTTACATCTCATATTCACCATTTAGGTTCTTAATGTCTTTGCTTTATTTCCTAAATAAAGCTTATTTCCCTTACACACATCTCATATACACCCTTTAGGTCTTAACCCGGTCTTTGCTTTTTTCCTATATAAAGACATGTATTGCCCTTCCTCTCAACAACTGCTCTGTCTTTCTTCTTCCAAACAACTACCAAACTATGTTATCATTGCTCATCTTCTTGACCTATTCCCTTTCTGTTTTCCTTTTCTTTCTTTTCATAGTAACTAGTTCTTGCATAAAAGTTTGATGTCAGGATTTATATGACAAAATACCGGGAACAAAAGGTGTCAGCAAATTGTGCAGCATTTCAAAAATGCAAATTTAGCATAAACAAGCAAAACTTTAGAACTGGTATGAGTGACTAGAGATTTAGAGTAAGGTTATATGATCAACTTCATCGAATCTTGGCCAACCAAAATAACAGATGAAGCACAAATTCCCAAGAAGTATAGGTTATACTTCGTCCTTCAAAAAATCTTGTTTGATTAAAGCACAACTTTTTAATTCCGGCAAGGTGAAGCTCTTAAAAATAAATAAATAAATAAATAAATAAATAAATAAACATTGCGTATATTTTCAAAATATATTCGTTGTTTTAGCTAAAATAAATCATATTTAATTTGTTTACAACCTTCATTTAGTCATTTGGATCCGTTCAAACAAAGATGACAAACCTCAAAAAAGAGCTCATCGGGCAAGCAACGGTGTATAAGTGCAGTATCGATGGAAGGCTTGTGAATTGCATTGCCGAAAGGGGTGACAGGTCTAATATGGACCCCATAAAGATCTGAAATAAATAACCAGATGGCAATGAATGAGCAACAGTTAGGAATAAAATAGATAACATCTTTCTTTCCAATAATGGAAGAAGTCAAAAACTACAATTCTAGAGATTAAAGGGAAATATCAAAGGAGAACCAAGCATGTACCAAGCCACGGCCTTTGTTTTACCAAGTATTGAGTAGTTCTCAAGCATACGTTTTCAAGCTTGGTTGCAAGTGTGAGCTTGTAATCTGCCGGAAATAGTTAAAAGCGTAATTTGAGATTGTCAAACAAAAACTTTGCAATTTATGTTATCCAATTTAATTTTAGGTGTGGGTGTGTCGTCCAAATTAATATGGTTGATGTGTCTTTCCCTATGGGCAGGGGAATTCAAAGCATTTTCAGCCTCAGCAATAAGAGCGGGGTGGCTAGGAGATCCTAAAATCAACCATGGTGGCATCAATTAAGACACTTGGGAAAACCAGCAAGATCAGACCACTGTGGTCTATAGAATCGTGGGCTAGAAAGAGAAGCCTTGGTTGAACAAATAATGGCGAGATGGGTGGAGGCAAGCTCCCTTTTGACTCCACATAGATATGGTGTTTAAAACTGATATGGTGTTTAACACTTTAAGCCACATCATTTTGGCCTTATTACTACCCATTTCTCCCGACCATGGGATATGGTGGCAAATCTATATGCGAGAAAACAAGCAAACTAAAGAGATGTACGGATGAAAGATCAGAAGCTAACACGGAAACACACACGAAGAGTTGCCTTTTGGCCATTTCAATTTTACACTCTTGAGATTCATAGAATGAAAGTAATATATGGATTCACGAGGGCCTCAGATATTAGAAATTCAAAATGCATATTTCTTTATGAATTGCTGGTAAGGATAACATGATAGATCACTAGGCCTAAACAAAAAACTCTTTATACATCAAAAGAGTCACATCTCAACAACAACCCAGTTGAATCCCACAAGAGTAGGGTATGGGGTGTGTGTATGCAGACCTTACCCCTGCTCCAAAGTAGGAAGACTGTTTCCAAGAGACTTCCAACTCAAATAACACAGATAGCACATCATCGAAGAAGATACATAAAGTAGAGAAACCACATAGCACAAAAAGAAATGAACAAACTATTATTAACGAAGGAAAAGCACAACAAGCAGAATGTACCAAGCATAAAAAGCACACACCAACAACGGCAACAAGTGCGAAAATTACCACCAAGCCCAAAATGCTTACCCAACTACCAAAATCCTAGCTCTCCAAACGCTCCTATGTAAGGTCATATCCTCAGTAAGGGCCAGAAGTCTTAGGTCCTATCTAATCAGTAATCACTTCCTTCTGATTCCTCCTAGATCTGCCCCTTCCCCTACTCCCGCCCACCACCGTAAGCCTATCACATCTCCGCCTCAGCATTCTCCACCTCACATGCCCAACCCACCTCAACCTAGCTTCCTGCAGCTTTTCCTCCATAGGTGCCACTCCTACCCGTCCTCCCTCATTCTGAATCAGATCTATCCTCGTTTGTCTACTAATCCACCGCAGTATCCACATCCGTGCAGCATGCTGGTGATGAACATGGGTTTTTTAACTGCCCAACACTCCTCAGCATGCAGCATAGTTGGTCTGCCTACAGACCGATACAACTTTTCTTTAATCCTAGCCAAAATCTTCTACTAGCACAGAACCCCTAAAGCCAACCTCCACTTAGCCCAAGCCACTCCAATACGGTGCGCCACATCCCTGTCCAGCTTCCCATCCCCATCACATATCACAAACGGAATTAGTGATAAACATATAAGCCTTTTCATGAGCATGCTTAAATGGGTGTATGGGAAGGTTAACCATGTAAGCGTACTCATGAAAGGGTTAGAGTGACATACACACACACACACACAGACTAAAACAGAGCACACCAAAGAAACTTGCAAAGAGTATAAATTACACTGAAGAAGAATAATTGTACAAATTATTGATAGAAAGTGAGACTCCTAATTTCAACAAACATTGCATGTTGTAGAGTATTATTTGAATATACAATCCTTTCAGTTTTGAGATGAGCTAGACAGCTAGTTGTGGCTAACATTGTGAATCTGTGAATTCAGAAGTTGTAGGGTTTTAATAATGCTATAAACTGGTTACACATCAACATGTCCATGCAAATAATGAATATATTGTTAGTGAGTTGAGTCTTTTAGCAAGCTGGCGAAGAATTATTTGCAACACATTTTGAAAGGAAGCATCATGTTGTTACTTGTTAAGGCATCGAGTATTTTTAGATTATAAAAATCAATTATATTAAACATTTATCAACATTTGAACAATCATTAATGTCATTCTTAGAAGATTCATGTGGTGAATAACATCTAGTGGATCAAGTCCAACTTTGACAGACATTGGAAATTGGAATAAGGGTACTCAACCAGACGATCTCACCTCAACCTCATTTGGAAGTGAAAGAAACTAGGGTGTCTGTGAGCATGTAAGACTTGATATATTTCTAAATTCTAGTTTTTTTGAATCGGTACAATTTATTATAAAGACTTCATTAGAAGTAATTCTTAGAATGCATGAAAAGTTGTGTTCTAAGACCATTAGAGTTGACTACACCTAAACAATTTGGTATTTATAAAAGAATATTAGGAGATTAAAGAAAACGATGGGAATTGAGATAGGCCAATTGTAACGCCCCGAAAATAGGCATATCAGAATTAATTAATTGATAATTAATTAATTACTGAGATGGACCCAAAAAATAAGTGATGTATAAAGTTTTTCAATTAATTTAGAAAATTATACCGTTATGTAGAGTTTGACTGTGTGATCGCAAAGGTGCAATCGGATTTCAATTTGGAGAAAATTGGACCACAAAAAGTGTACCTGACAGGGACCATTTTAGTCAATCAGGGAGTAGCGTATGAAATCAAACTGAATCGCGGAATCGCCGCTCCACTTCTTCACCGGTCCAAATCACTGACTCAGCAAGCTTAACTTCTTCCCCAAACTCTAACTATATAAGGACCTCCCAACCTTCCCATTTCTTCACCAAATTTAATAAATTTATTATCATTGTGTTCCTGAGTGTGAGGAGAACAAACTGTTGTAGTTCGTCGACATAGGAATCGCCGGAGATAGCCATGGTGTTCGCCGGAAGTTTCACCGGAAAATTTCCAAATCCTTCATTTAAGCTCGAAGTAAGCCCTTAGATATATCTAGTGATTAGAATGTTCATATAGATCGTTTTTACGTTCATAAACGATCATTTGGTTGAGTTATGTGCTATAAAAATGAAAAATACATTTTTGATGAACCAAGAATCATAAACCTTCAAATTGATGTTAAAGCTTTGAATTAATTGTTCAAAAATGACCTATGGATGTTAGAGAACATTTTTATAAAGTTAAAATGAAGTTTAGAGGCTTAAAATTGCCCATACCGCCCACACGGTAGATCGTACTGTCAGGAAGGTAGCTAGCTACCGCCATAGGCCAATCCGCTCTCGCGGTAACTGACATCAGATGGTTATATCGTATGGACTGAGGTACCGTTATCGGTACCTTGTGCTCATTATTTGGTCTTGATTTCTTCACAAAAATTGTAGCCCTACGAGTCTATGAACCACAGCCGCAAACGGTTTGTCAATCGGACGAGTAACGAAGGGGATACGGCCGTTCTACCAAAACTGGTCCAATGGCAACACAAAACGCGAGGTTTGCAACTTCTGTCTCCATTCTCGTTCTGTCCCATTCAATCCGCTATTCGTTGGGTGCCAGCCCTAGTAAAGGGTGAGGATTTTCCCACAAACCTGTATTTTTGTCAAAGATGCATCTGAGACTTTGTATGTTGCATGACGGTAAGCTATAGTATTAACACTCGATGCTAGGCCGCTATTTGTTATTAAATATTATGATGATTGTTGTTGATTATTGATTATGATGATTCAACTTTGATTAAAAATAAATATCCTAATTTAAATGATGATTATGAATGATTAAGGTTATCTAAAAGAACTCTAAGATAGACCCCATGTGACTTAATTAGTTTGGGCCTTGCAGGTATGATGTTTGGTGGCCTGGTTAAAAACATACGTACGGGATCTACAAACCAAACTAGAGGATAACTCGTTTGAGGCCGACTGTAGACTGTTGTTCGGTTTTCGGCCTATAAGACTTATAGGATAGGTCATGATCTTGTGTTCCGCCTTAAACTAAGAATAGTTTAAAAGCTTTGTGATTAATATGACTTTGGCCTTAGACTAAGAATATTTTAAGAACATTGTTATGATTTGGCCTTAGACTAAAAATAGTTTAAGAACACTGTTGACACCATGAATATTGAACTGAATATTTTGTGCATGATATCAAATGATTTAATTATGAATTGTGATTCAATTTATGTAGATGTTTGATGCAATTGATATCCTTACTCACCTTCAACGCTGAGCGTGTAGTATGTTTTATTTCTTACACGCAGGTAAACAAAATAAACAATGATGTGATGATGATCCTGGCGGCCGATGGGGACGAGATGTCGGGATGGATTGTGATGGTTTTCCAGCTGTTCAAATAAATATTTAAAATGAACTATTTATATTTTTGATGTTTGTGTTGTTGAAACAATTTACTAATCCTCCGCAAATTTATTATGAACTCCAATTATGTTGAAATGATATTTTATGATGAAATAAAGTTTTTGAATGTGTGAAATTTTTATGTTACTAAGTTAATACTATAGTCTATAGTCTAGAAGGGGCTGTTGGTGATGTGTAGTCATCGGCCCAAAGTGGCCCACTTGTAGACAACTGAGAATTAGGAGACCAGATTAGGGTTTCGGCCGGCCCAAATGGTTTTAAGCCCAGTTTGCTATAACTTGTCCAGCAAGGGTTAAACCCTAATTAGTTGTCTATATATTTGATCTCCTGTACTTGTAATCATCATCACTCAATAATACAAACCCTAGTTGCCCCTGTGGATGTAGGTCAGATTAGACCGAACCACGTTAAATCTCGTGTTCTCTATTGCTTTCTTGCTTTCTATTCGTGTGTGTGTG